AAAGCCAGCGGCGCTGCCGCGCCCCTTCTCGATTTTTGCCTCTGATGAGGCCCTTCCCGGCCTCCGTTTAATGCAATTTTTATATCACCGTGATCACCATTCTTTTCTCTACAGGTTGATCGGAGCCGAATCACCAAAACACGAACTTCACCGGAGAGCCGCCGCACCCGAGAGCACCGCCGCCGGTAAGCTTCGGTTTTTCGTAAATTTTTGGCCCCCCGAGGGTTGTAGGGTTGTTTTATCGCAGGAACCAATGCGAGTGTGGCCGAATTCGGCCAGAAACGGCCGAAAACGGCCAACCCGAGGCAAATCGCCGCCGCAAGCGGCGGCGTCGTCCCCGGAACACGGCGGAGCCGCCGTGCCGGAGTTGCGATATTGGCCAAAAGGGGGCCCTGGGCCTAATTTGGGATTTTTTGGAACATGTACAGGTACCAGTAGTGCGTTTCAGTTCCCCGAGAAAAATTCAGGGAAAATTAGGGACAGCCTGTAGGCGCACTGTGAAGCCGTGTTCGGACCCCGAAACAAGTAAAGAACCCTCACCCTATTTCCTATCACGGTTTTAAAGTTCAATAAATGATAAAACGGTATTTTATAAATCAACGAATGTGTGAAATTGCTTAAGGTCGCTAATGGAGCCCGAGTCTAGTGTGTTTGTCGGTTAACTGTTATTTGGCCTGTTTACAATTTTAAATGCAGTATGAGATTTGATGTTTTCATTTTATAGTTTCGTGTGCATATTCTACTGTTTTATTGATTATGGATTGAATGATCGGGATATTGATGCTGTATGTTGTCTGTTTGGCATAAATTATCGTTTTGCTTGTTTGTATGTGATTGATAATGCTGACTGAGGGAAAAGGAGAATGAAAGATTATATAAATAGAAATTATATACTGTGGTCAGCCTGACTAGATATCCTGGGAGATGGTGGACGGACCGGGTCCGTAAGGGAACCCTACCGGGATTGTGGTCTCCCATACCGGACGGGGTATGGAGATCTTATGTGTTTTGGCGCCCATACCGGACGGGGTATGGGGACGGCCCGTTTCACCCTCATACCGGACGGGGTATGGGGACGGCTCTGGAATGGATTTCAAGTGTTAAGGATTAACGGGTAGCGGGACTCCTATGGATCCCCATGGATACTAGTGGGCTGGTGAATTAGGAAAATATATTGTGTAACGATTGAATTACGAAAAGTTTGACAGATATCATGTTATACAGTTCATATATATGTTTTCATGATGATGATGATGTTATTGCTTTCGTATATTGTTTTATGAATTTCATCGAGGTAAGTGAATGGTAAATGTTTTATTATTAATAAAAGGATTTGTTGTAAATTATGCTCAATTGGTCTTTTTGTGTTTTCTACCCACCTTTACCTCCGTGACGGTGAGATATCGTGATGTCTTTACTGGGCTAGTGTAGCTCATTCCTTATTTAATCATTTCAGATCAAGAGGACATCGTTCCCGAGCCGGTTCCGCAGGAGGACGACGAAGGGGACGCCTAAAGACTCCATAGTCACATTCGTAGTTTTTACTTTAGATAGTTTAATCTTTTATATTTTGTGAGCACGTTTTTTGTTTTAGTGTAAGGGATGTTATTCAAATTTTGACTTCGCTTCCGCATTTGATATTTATAATATAAATTCCATTTTAAATTTCCGGGGGCTGCTACATTTATATTTCACATAATACTAAATTATTAATTTTTAAGCTTCAATTCTATAACAAAGAATATGGTGATAGATTCTTACCCGAATCGGTATCTGAAACACTATATTTCCTACTGCGCCTTCTGATTATCCACGAATTTTCTGAATTTTCCTACAGAGATTAAACACGCTTCACGTACTTAAAAATAAATAACTCAAAATTGGTGTTAAAAATTTCTTTAGGCCAATATCAGAATTCTGGCATAGTAGGCAGCGGTTTGCCTCAACCTGGTTGTTTTAGGCTGGTTTCGGCCGATTTAACACATATCCCTGCGAAAAATATACGTTAGAGAGATTCAGTTGGTCAGAAAAAATTAGAAAACCAAAACTTACCGGTGGTAAGGTTTTCGGATGCGACGGCTCTGCCAGCTCTCCTTCGCGGTTGGGATTCCTCCTTCGATCAACTTGCAAAAAATAAGACGGTGAACACAAAGGTAAAAAAATCGTATGAAACAAGAACCAGGAAGGGGCTCATCAAAGGAGGTTGCGGGTTTTGGGCCGTCGCGGCTCTGTCAGACTTTACCCGTAGTTTTTGGCTCACTCGTCATTCGTTTTGCTCCGATATGACAACAGGGGTGCTTGAAATCGAATTCCGAGCGGGTAGAAAACTTTACCATTTTTGGCAGTTGAAAGTGGCTCCAGTACGGCGGCGGTTGATGGTTGACTTCCTTCTCCAGCATCTGATTCTTCTTCTCTGGCCGGGGGGCTGGCGACTAGGGTTCAGGTTTTGTGTGATGCAAAATATTTATACCTATCCCGCGTTAATCTGGACTGTCTATCGTGATCGATCTCAATTGTTCGATCACACCTAAGGAGGAAATGAATATGGACCGTTCATCACGTTTTATCTCGACCGTTCGATCGCACCTAAGGAAAAAATGAATTTGAATCTTTTATTGCATTTATCTTGACCGTTCGATTGCGCCTAAGGGAGAAACAGATCCAGACCGTCCACACGCACGAGATTAATCTTGGACCACCCGATCACGGGGCACACGGATAGCCAGTGTGGCCTCCCATGTGGCACCGGTGGCCAGGCACCCTCCGGTTTGTCGAGGTTACTAATTAGACGATCTTATGTGGCTGAACTTTTTTTATTTACACTTTAACCCTCTATTTTTAATTTTTCTTTCAAAAACACCCACCGAACTCAAATTTTCACTCATTCTTCCCAAAATTATTTTTAATTTCGTCCATAAATTCATTTTTCTCAAAAATTCAATCAAATTAAAATAAAATATTTTTTTTAATTATTATATATATATTCATAATCCCGTAAAAGTTATCCCGGACCAATTTTCGGGATCGAGTGTTACAACTCCCCCTTCCCTCTCCTTAAAAGAAATTTGGTCCCTCAAATTTGTTGTCTTTTTACTAGTCAAACAGTTGGGGATACTGGACCCTGAAGCTTAATTCCAGTTCTCACGTGGCTTTTTCCTGCGTATGGTTCTGCCATAAGACCTTGATAAATAAAATTTCTCAATTGCAGAGTACTCTACTCTTTCAATCTATAATGCCTATTGGTACCTCCTCATATGATAGATCCTCCTTAAGTAAAAGGAGCTCGTGGGACAGGATGTGTGAGGTGTCTGGGTTGTACTTATGTAGCATATATACGTG